TTTAAGGCAGATTCGCCCGTTTGGGAGGGGTCCGGAGGATGAACCATGCTTTAGCTCATCAGCTCACACCAATTAGCTTTAGCTATATGCTTATAATGACCAAATTTCATATAAGAGAGGTCCCAGAAACCTCAAGAAAGAGGCTTTCCTCCTGTGAGCTCTCCTGGCAATGAAGGCCTCGCATGCAAAGAGACCTCTAAAATGAAGCAGGTGCCTCCCTCGCTTGGGAACGGGGTGCTCAGAGCTGTGTTTGCACTTCTTCTCCAGTGGGCTGAGTTTGTCCTGTTTTCTGGCCTCCTCTTTGCCGTGTGCGTCGTCTTCTCCATCATGGGCTATTTCTATGTCAGCGTGGATCCCGAAGACCTGAAAGAAAAAGAAGAGAAGGAAGAGACGCCAAGTAACATGATTAGCCTTGTTCCCAAGAAAGCAAAGGTATAAACTGTCGGAGCGGGGCGGGATGGTCTCTCCATGAACTGAACATGTTGAAAGGGAGACTGAAAAATGACCGATGAGGTTTCCATGTGTGTGGCAGCCTTTCACATTTGAAATGGAGCCACCTTCTCCTTTGGACAAAATACCTCCTTTTCTCCTTAAAAAAAAAGGGTCCAAACCCCTGTGTAAAACTCCCCAAGAAAACTTCTCTGGTGTTCAAGGCGCTTATAAATAAACACAGTTTAATTTTAAAGCTGCCCACCCTTTTTAATCAGAGGAAGATTCGCTGTGACTTGGTTTTAAATATATATCTAGCAGCAGAATGGGGAGGGAGCAGTGTGCATGTCAGGTGCTCCGAGGCAGCACAGCTGGCTTTGCAAGAGTCTGGAAAAGAGAAGGAATTTATGGATGCACCGTCTGGTGGAAAGAGATTTCCATTTTGTCAGCGAGGGCTGGACGTGGGACAGATGATCACAGAAGATCCCAGCACGTGACTTTCCATCTGGGCCCCTCACCCGCATCTTACAGCTTTGGGACGTTCTTGATTTATGATTTCTGCCTCCACAGCCATATGCAATCAAGGTGGCAGGGTCCGATGTGGCCCCAAATGTCACTGAGCAAGAGGCGTGTGCTGCTCTCTGTCTGGCTCGATTATTTGTCTGGCGTATGGTGTTGCACCAGGGCTTTGCAGCCAGGCAGGGTGGTTTGATTCACAGCAATTAAAACATCGGTTTATGCTTTTTAGTCCATAAAAGCACACAGGTCCTTTCACCAGGCACCCCTAGAAAAGGTGAAGAGTTTACTGGGCATTTTACGTTCTGGTGCATCAACCAGGATGCTGCAGCACCCTGGGGTGCTATGAGATCCTTTTAAGAGTGCTGCGGGGTGCCATGCAATACTAGCTCTGCTAGGTACACCAACACAAAACACGGTTCTCAGGATAAACCCAGAGATTTCCACCAGAAATCCCAGAGTGCCAAAAGCGTTCTGCCCTCTTGCGATCTTTCTGAGCTCTTTGCAACACAAGCACTGATCTGTTATTTTTTCCTGGTCAAAAAATGAGTGCAAGCTGACAGCTCGCATTTTCTGAGGGGTCCCTTGAGTCCAATGATGAGTGCCTTGAGTCCAGTAAGGGGTGCCTAAAAAAGGTTGAGAACCACTGTGTTATATATATATATATATATTCTGTGGCAAGATTGGATGGGCTGCTTTGAAGCATGTCCTCTTATGCTGAAGCTGTTCTCCCTGGATTGCATGTCACAGCAGTTACTGTAAAGCGGCCGACATCCCGCCGTGGGCTAAACAGGGATGCACTTTGTTGTCCTTTTCAGATTTCAGTCTAGCGAAGTAGAACGCAGCAAAAGTGATTATTTTTAACTCGCTTAGATTTCCTTTCAACTTCTCCAAAGCTGTATCTTTTCTTCTTCTTCCTCTGTACAAGACTCTGGATGGAGCTATTGAGGCAGAACTGTGAGACTTCATTATTGGCATCACAGGATGCCTAGGCAGAGTCCCTATCTCGCCGGCCTTGTCCAAGGGGTCCGGGTGCTTTATTGCTGGGTCTAAGCCTAGCACAGCTTACAGTATTTGATTAGCATATTTACTGGATGATGGTGAAGTCTCATGTACGTGCTTTGAGACAGATTTTTCTCTGGTCTTTCAAATGAAGTGGGGAAAAAAAATCAGCATTTAATCCCATTCCTGCCCAGAAGAGCACATGCTTAACCTGAGGTCTGTGGGACGTGGGTACGTCTGTCGGTGCTGTCTGAAATACAGATGCTGTCCTAAATAGGGTCTCAACCACCCCATGGCACTCTCCTCAGAGAGGACCTAATTCCAGCTTAGTTGAATTGCATGCAAGTCCCATTTCCATTTCAGTCCGATGGGATATGTTCCCATTTGTCCCTTCACTTCCTGTCCCAAACAGTCATGCAGCTGCAACACTGGCTCAGTATATGTTTCTAGACGCTGTTAAACAGATGCCACGTTCAACCCCATGTCCCAAAGGGGAGCGAAGGGCATTGAAAACGGTCTATTAGGTCACCCAGCCCCATTCTTCAGATGTCGGTGGAGGATTATTCCCTTTGCTCCTTTTTGTATTATTGTCTGCATGCCATGACTCAGCTGGTCCTTTCTCCTCCAGGCTTTTTTGTTGCTTTCCTAATCCTGTTTTATGATCCCCTGCGAATCAGCTCAGCTACTGCCGAATCGCTCTGCTATGATGCTATTTGACTTGCTTCCAAATTGAAGCGCTAATAAAAAGACATCCCCCCTGCAAAAAAAAAAAAAAAAAAGAGCTGAAGGACTGGCCAGGCTCCAGCAGGGCTGAGCAGACACAATTTAAAATTATTGGAGCATTTAAATTTTTATAAGCCTTGAATTTGGAAGCAGTTTGGGGTTTCAGGGCATGTGCGGTGTTGAAGCAATTGGAAAAGATTGGAGCCCTTTCCTTGGGAAGTGATCGGCCTGCCGTGTGCTGACAACTCCCATCTGCGGAGGGGGAAAGCCTTGTGTCCAAGCGAGGCATTCCTAAACACTGCATATGCTTTTAAAGCACCTTTTAACACAAAATTTCCCCTGCCCCCTACTTGGCAGCCTTACCGAAGGCTGTCACATGCTCTGAGCTTATGAAAGGAGTCATTCCCAACTCATAAAAGATGCATTTAATATATTGTATGACTCTGCCTGGTAAATGTTGGATGCCGAGGCCTTCCAGCCTTCCCCGTGTGCCAGGCTGGCGCCATGAAGCGAAGGAGCAGAGGGAAATCATCACTCCCGTTCTTTGTGACTGCGGCCATGAAAGGCTGCAACACAGCCCTTGCACCAGGCCCTGCAAATCCAGAATGGGGCAACTCGTGGGAGTAAGTGCAACTTGACCTGGAACATGAAATATATTATTAAAAAAAAAAGTGCGCGCACACGTGGCCTGATTATGCTGCAGTAAACTAAAATGCCGCCATAGGTTAGTACATGTAAATACAAGTACTAGCCCATGGCAGCTTTCTTTGGTGCACAGCTCAGCAACACGTGTAGACGCTGACAGGGCTGGCGGGGGCACAAGGGTGCTTCAGTGCAGGGCCTGCCTGTGCCCCAGCCAGCCCATCCGTAACCTGTTGAGCCGGGGGGGCGGGGAGGCTGTCCCCCAGGGTCCCCTGCCAGCCAGGGCTGCTCAAAGTGCTGCGGTCCCGGACACATATGCAAGCGTGGTGCCCAAGAGCAATGAACTCCAGCATGATATGCACCAGAGTTTATTGCTTTGCATTAATTGCATGTGTGGACGCACCCAACGAGAGTGACGGGAGTTCAGCCCACAGGTCGCAGTGGTCCCTTTGCAACTCTGGCCTCGATTGGGTTCAGTCCATGATTTCTTCTGTGGTATAAGTCAGGGGTGTTACAGATATGATCCATGGGCCACATCTATCCCCTGGAGCCATTTCACCCAGCCCTTGGGTGTCCTAGAGGGGGTGGGGCAAGGAGGGATGGTGGTAGGGCCTATGGGTTATGCAGCCCCATTCGGGATGTGCGGTGGTGGTAGCCAAGGAGAAACGGCTCCGTCTACCACCTTGCTGCTGCCTCTGCCGCTCACCCCACCGCCGCTCACTCCACCACCACCACCACCACGTCCAGATCCAGCCTGCGAGGAGCCCCGTGGTCCAGATCCAGCCCAGGGGCTGGTCAAATTGGACACCTCCCGTATAGGCGATTACAGGACAGGGCTCTTTAAAACTCTGTTACTCTTGCAGGCCGTACTCTGTTTTTCCTGTCCTTACTCAGGAAAACTCCCATTTTGCCCATGCCCTGAATAAACCCTGCAGGATGCGACCCACTGTCGTTCCTTTTGCAAAAGCACAACATCTATCGCTTGATCCCTGCAGCCCGAGGGAGGTCAGGGTGCAACGTTGTACCGCAGACACTGCTCCCCATGCCTTCCCTGGCTGCGTGCAGCCCCTGTATGCCATTATAGGACCTTCCCAACAGCATTACATAGCAGTGAACCGACTTCATGTAGCGGCAGTGATCACCCGCAGCGTTCGGATCGGTGCTGTGGGGATCCTGAGGTACATTTCTAAAAGGATCCCATGCCGGTGAAGATGTCAATGCAGTGAATGTCTCTTCCTCTGCATTAATTGCAGTTGAACAAATTGACTTGGGAGCAGGTAGGAAGTCAGCACTATTTCCAGGCTCAGGTATTAAAAAAATCATCAGTCAGATCCCCACCAAGAACCATGAGATGTTTTTAATAAGCGCCGGGTTTTTTCACGGGTCCTCCGGCTTCTGAGTTTGTAGAGGACACTGGGGCAGGGTTTCGAGTTCTTCTCTGCAAGCAGGAAGACTAGAAACATTTCCTGTCTTTAAATACAGATTGAGCATCTCCGTGTAATCCCATGACTCCAGAAGCTGAGGGTTTAGAAAAAATAATGCTCCGCTTTCAAGGCTAGAGGTTGGCATGAGGTCGCACAGCTGGTGTTCGCAAAAAAACCTATCCATTTCCTGGGCAGAAAATGAGGCACCAAATGCATGGAGAAAACGAAGAGCCAATAGACATCTTTCACTGCATTTCGTTCGGCTTTATGTGCCAAGGAAGGATGCTGGATGGTTTCTCGAGAAGGACTGCGGCATTATTCAGCCTGCACGTTGGGGCTGGCGGGAGCAGTTGGCCGACGAGTCCAAGGTCTAACCAACTTGCTGATGAACCAAGTGCTCAGAGGCAGGTGCAATTCATTGTAGCACATTAACTGGAGAAAAAATGAGATCGTAGAACTGGAAAGGTCATGCGCTTAAATAGTGGAGGACTTTAGACCTTTCAAAATGCCTCTCTAATAATGTGTGATAAAGGGCACCGCCACAGGGGTTTAGTAGAGCCGTTGCAGAGGGGGATATTCCCGAGCGCTGAAGCTAACAGCTTACAACATTGCAATGAGGAATTCAAGACAACCAGGCTGACCTTTTGGTGATGCTCATGTTACCAGGGCCACCTGGATATGCCCCTCTAATTTTCCGGAGGG